TTTTTTTCTTTTTTTGGTTTTTCTAGACAAGGTTTCTCTGTGTAGCTTTGCGCCTTTCCTGGAACTCACTGTCTAGCCCAGGCTGGCCTCGAACTCACAGAGATCCACCTGACTCTGCCTCCCAAGTGCTGGGATTAAAGGCGTGCACCACCACTGCCTGGCTGGAACTCACTCTGTAGACCAGGCTAGCCTCAAACTCGGAGATCCGCCTGTCTCTGGAGTGCTGGGATTAAAGGTGTGCGCCACCACCACCTGGCTCAGCTTGAGTTTTCAACCATAGCTCGTGATTATAACTGACCTCTTCACGCCGACCACATAAACTCTATAATGTCTGGTGACTCTTACTATGGTTCCTTGGGCAATAGCAGGTCCCAGGCTCCATCCTGAGGGTCCCGCTCCCTGCCCTGGAGGGATGTCGCAGAGAGGCCCAGAAGAATCTGAAGAAAACAGGCCTGGGAACTCTGGACGCGCAGAGGAGTTCAGGAGCATTAGCTCCCACAGGAGGCTTTGCAGCTTCCGAGTCACCTCACCTGCCCTGTCAAGAGGCCTCAGCGGCGGCCAGTGAACAGGAGTGTTTCTCGGGGTTTGCTGGCCCCTCTGTAGACCCATCTAGCTCATCAGTGACAGGGTCCACCCGAGCAGGCCTAACAGGGAACTGGAGTTTGACTCTGTAACCTGAGGTCACCAAATCAGCTGTTGGCTCCCTGCTCCTCCCTTACAAAGGGTTGTTGTTTTCTTTTAGAGTCAGGCTCTCTCTCACCAGGTACACTGGCCGGCTTTTTTTCTTTTTGTTTTTTTCCAAGACAAGGTTTTTCAGTCTAGCCCTGGCTGTCCTGGAACTCGCTCTGTAGACGAGGCTGGCCTCGAACTCACAGAGATCCGCGTTCCTCTGCTTCCCGAGTGCTGGGATTAAAGGCGTGTGTCACCACCACCTGGCCCTGGCTGGCTTTGAATTTGGCACCCTCTTGCCTTGGCCTCCTGAGTGCTGGAATTATCGGGGTTTGCCACTACACCTGGCTATATGGGCTCCCCTTTATGAAATCCAGTCAGGTAGAAAGCAGTGAGCACTTTTCATTTTAATTAGACTTTAGACAGATCCGACATACGAACCCAGACTCCTCCGCTGTGGCTGCTCACACCTGTGCAGAGCTCAGATATGGTCATACCTGGAGCTCCGAGTTGCCCTGGCTTTGGCAGAGTCAGGCTTTTGCTGTGTTTCCCAGGCTGTTGGGGACTCCCAGGCTCCGGTGGCCCTGCCATCTGTTCCCGAGTGACTGAGCGTGCAGGCACACCCACCCAAGCTTGCTAGTTTTTATTTTTATTTTTTTTATTTTTAATTTTTGGTTTTTCGAGACAGGGTTTCTCTGTGTAGCTTTGTGCCTTTCCTGGGGCTCACTTGGTAGATTAAAGTTGTGCGCCACCACACCTGGCTTTATATAATTCTTTTATATATATATTTATTTGTTGTAGAATATTCCTTTATATTGTGTGAAGACGTGTCACTCTGGTTTAATAAAAAGCTGACAGCTTATAGCTAGGCAGGATTTCTAGGCACAAAGGGCACTGGGAAGTAGAAAGGCGGAGAAGCCAGGACGCAGAGCAAGCAGCATGGGCATTACACAGTAGAGGTAACTGTGCCATGTGAAAGAACACAGATCAGTAGAAATGGGTTCATTTAAGTTATAAGAGCTAGCTAACAACAAGCCTAAGCTAAGGCCGAACTTCCACAATTAGCAATAAGTCTGTGTCATGATTTGGGAGCTGGCTGGTGGAACAAAGACTCACTACGTTCATTTATCATCTTATGTGTGTGAATGACTGCTTGTGCATCTGTGTACCACGGGTATGCCTGAGGAGGGTACTGATCTCCTGGAACTGAGTTAGGAATGGCTGTGAAACACTGTGTGCGTGTTGGGAATTGAACTTGACTTCTCAGTAAGAACAAGAGCTCTTAATTGCTGAGCCATCTCTCCAGGCCAATATAGTTTAGCTTTATGAACTGGATTATCACAAAACAGGACACAGGAGGAAGTACTGCTGGGTGATGACTTCACTGAACTGTCATTCCAGAGACATGTGTGCAACATCACACACAATGTCATTATATACACACACGTGCCCCGAATTACACAACACTGATCTGCATACAGAGAGAACCGAATTATTACACAATTACACGTGTTCTTGATTGATTACAGCAACTCTTTTGTTTTGTTTTTGAGACAGGGTTTCTCTACATAGCCCTGGCTGTCCTGGAACTATGTAGATCGGGCCAACCTAGAACTCACAGAGACCCAACAGCCTCTGCCTCCCAGTACAGGGATTAAAGGCGTGCGCCACCACGCTCAGCTCCTGTGAGACCAGAGGCCTTTGTGTGCCCTTGCTGTGTGGAGTCAGCCAACCTCTTCTCTGAGGGGCAGTGGTAACTGTTTTCAGCTCGGAGTCTCAGATACTCAAACTCTGCTAAGGTGGCCAGCAACAATGTACAAATGAATTCACATGGCTGTTTTAATAAACCTTTATTGACTGATTTGACGCAGGGGCCTGGTCTGCCAGGCCTTGCAGTTGTGACCGTTTGTTCTTACCCGAGTTTCCCTATGGAGTTCTCCACCTTGAACACGAGGTACCTCCAGAGTGTTTGGATGACAGGTATATGCAGTTTATGCAGTGCTGGGATCTGAATCCAGGGCTTCAGGCATGCCCGACAAAAACTGTGCCCACAGCACCATCTCCCCAGCTCTTTGCTCCTGCACTGGAGTGCCAGCTCCATGGTGCTGATGCTAGCCTTTGTCTTGCTCCTGGCTGATCCGGACATAGTAGCTGCTCAGTGAACATGTGTCCAGTTGGTGGGTAATGGCACCCCAGCTGCTAGGCAGGCTTTTCCTGTCAGTCTGCCCACAGCGCTCACAGAGGCCAGCCAAGGGATGGCCTTGGGGCCAGGGCAACTGGCTGAAGCTTGTATGAGAGCCGTTCTCCTCTGGGGTGGCTCTCCAACATCTTGGTCCCTCCAATAGGAGCTTGTCCACCAATGAAACCAACAAAGGGGCAGCAGGGCCTGCCAGGGATGGACAGGCAGTGCCCAACAGGCTGTGAGCTGGTGTGGAGGGGGTTCTGTGAGTCACTGGGGGGAGGAGTCGGGGTCCAGCCCAGCCCCGTCTCCCCACATAACCAGGATGGCACAGAGAGCACTGAGGACAGTGTGTGCAGCTGTTCCCCACTGGGCTGTAAATCCATGAGGCTGGGGCTGCAGCTGACCAGGGCTCCACTGGGAACCCAGCATGGCACAGAACAGGGCTGGGCACACGGTGGGCAACTCCGTGATCTTCCTCAAACGGCAGAATAAACAGAGGGCAGCTTTTCTGGTTAATATGGACTTTTTTTTTTTTTTTTTTTTTTTTGGTTTTTCGAGACAGGGTTTCTCTGTGTAGCTTTGCGCCTTTCCTGGAACTCACTTGGTAGCCCAGGCTGGCCTCGAACTCACAGAGATCCGCCTGCCTCTGCCTCCCAAGTGCTGGGATTAAAGACGTGCGCCACCACCGCCCGGCTTTTTTTTTTTTTTTTTTTTTTTTTTTTTTTTATAGCACGGTTTCTCTGTGTAGCCCTGGCTGTCCTGGAACTCACTCTGCAGACCAGGCTGGCCTGGAACTCACAGATCTGCCTGCCTCTGCCTCTCAAATGCTAGGTTAAAGGCGTGCGTCACCACTGCCTGGCTAATATGATTTTTAAAATTAATCTTTTGGTTTGTTTTTGAGGCAAAGTCTCACAGAGCCCAGGATGGCTTCAAGCTCACTTGTGGAGGATGATGACCTTGAATTCTTGACCTTCTTGCCTCTATTTCCCAAGTGCTGATTCTCAGGCATGTGCCACCATGCCACCTGTAATACTGGGTTGCTTTAGACAGGGTCTTTCTATGTAGCCCCTCAAACATGAAGTGTTTAGCAACAAGCCAAGCGCTGGGATTACAGATATATGCCACCCCAACCCGGACTTTAAAAAGTGTTTATTCCACTGTATTTATTTATTGTGTGTCTATAGTTGTGTGTGTGTTATAATGTGAACGTGGAGGTCTGAGGACAACCTGCGGGAACCAGTTCTCTCCTTCTACCATGCAAATCCTGGGGATCCAACTCAGGTCCATCAGGCTTGGTGGCAAATGATTCCATCTGTTAAGTTTACTGAATTGTTTTCAACTACAAACACACACAAATAAACTTGAAGACAACCACTTCATTAATCAATTTATTCTCACCCTTCTCCCCACGTGGGAAACACTGCAGGGAGTAGGACCGCAGAGAACTAACTGCTCCGGCCTCCTGCCTTGTGGAGGCTTCTGGAACCACACGCCCTCACACTTGCTTCCCGCACTGCCACCGTGGGTGAGGCTGCCCACAGGCCCCCACGTGTCCAGATGCATCGGGCCCATGTGAAGGCTCCCCCGGGCCAGGGTGGGCCCACAGGTCAATTTCATGCTTGGGTGGCCTGACGGTGACATTCGTCTCAGAGAAAACACTCCTGTGGGGTTCTTCAGGGAACTTAGAACAGCGAAGTTGCTCTGTTGGAGTAATGACTGACCTGACGGCCCAGGGCCCTTGACCTAGCCTGGTTTTGCCATAGCTTCAGTGGACTGAGCCAGGGCAGGGTGGCCAGAGCTGGTCTTGGAGCTGTTAGTGCCACACTGACTCTCAGGGGTAACCATGGCGATCGGGCTCTGAGTCGCCTCCCCGGCCCCATCCTCTGTCCTCCTCATCCTGCAGCCATGTCTGTCCTTTGCCTTTGTCCCTCAGTCAGGACCTCACCCAACGCAGCCACTCCAAATTTAAAGACACCAGTTCTCCTCTCCTACGAGTTGAGATACGGTCTCAGAAGCAAGTCTTGAGTTCTACCTGGTGAATCCTGGGAATGGGTCATCTTCACCCCTCTGGGGAAGAGCCCTGCCAGGCCCACCTCTAGGGACAAGGGCCAGGGAGAAGGAATCTGCTCTCTATATTCGGAGATCTCAGGTGTGGTCTGGGGCTCTTCTGATAGGGAACAGAAACCCAGTGCCTCTGGCCTCTGGGAAGAGGTCTGGCCCTCTCCTCACCTTGCCCTGCAGCTAGAACCATCTGGTTCTCCCCACTCTAAGTAGGTGGTCCCTCCTGAGCTGTGGGATCTTGGCCAAGTCCCTTAGTATCCCTTTCCCTGGGCCTCAGTTTCCCAATATGGGAAAGAGCTCATAGGATGAGTCTTGGCCCCTTTCCCATCAGAGCCAAAACCTTTTCTGGCTTTTCTCCAAGGATTTTGTCTTTTCTTCTTTTTCTTTTTCTTCTTTCTTTTTTTGAGACAGGGTTTCACTCTGTGGACTCAGGGTCACTCCTGCCTCAGCCTCTGAGAGCTGGGGTTCCAGATGTGAGGCACCACATTCTCTATTATTGATGAACACTGCCCAGTCTGGAGGTCCGTATTAACTAGGCCACTCCTATATCGCTGAGATGCCTCCTGCCGCCACGCAGTGACTGGGGCAGCCCAGTCCTGGAGCTGTGGTGCTGAGCCAACCCCAGCAGCCAAGGGGAGGCTGCCAGGGGCCAAACAGCACAGCGGGCCTTGCCCGCTCTTAGGATGGCAGAGGGAAGAAGCTGAATCGGGGGCCTCCAAAAGATTAACCCATGTCCTAACCCTGTCAGTGTGTCCCCATTCAGAAAAGGGTCTTCAGAGATGGAATTAAGGACCTTTCAATGTGGTCACCCCAGATTGAGAGTGGGCCTTGTATTCAGGGCAGGTGTCCAAGAGACAGAAGAGAAAGAGAAGGCCTCACAAGACAAGACAGAGTCCAGAAGACTTGGAGCCCCTGAAGCCAGGAGGAGTGAGACCCCCCAACACCCTGATCTCTGCTGTCGGCGTCCAGAACTGGAGCACAGGTCACTCTGTCCTGCACCACATTCCTAGTAACATGTCACTCTGGGGAGTGGGCAGACGGCAGGGCCAACACAAATGGTGGGGGACCCAGGGCTCCAGGAGTGGGGAAGGCGTGGACAGATGTGTGGGTGACAGCTAACCCACTGGCCTGAGAAATGCCACTGAAGAGAGATGGGAGGAAATATGGAAACAAGGTCCAAGACCCCAGGACAGGGCTTCGGCTGAGACAGGTTAGCTGAGGGCCAGGTGGGATCAGTCGGCACCAAGGAAGGGACTAGGGGATAACACCACAGGCCGAGGGGTGGGGGACCTCAGAGGAAAGATTGAGGATGGGGGGGATGGACGCATCGATTGCAGGAGGCCTCGCTGAGCTGAGGCCTGCACCCACCAAGGGAAGAAGGCGTGCGGGCAGCTGACCTTGTCTGAGCAGGTCCCGGGTAGGCTTGAGCCCTGCTTCCAATGTGCCTTTGCCAGAGCAGTGGGGAGGCAGGTGGGCAAGACCTTGCAAGTCCAACGTGGTTCCTAGTTGGGGCTGAGTGCTCCGAGTCAGGAGCTGGGGCTCTGAACACTTTTCCTGCTGTGCTCCCTGGGGGAAATGCCCGGATTCTATCAGCGTGGGGTGACCACACGTCACAGTTGCATCAAGGTCCTGGGGGCTTCTGCTGGGCCAGGGCAGGCCAGGCCAGGTGGTGTGGGGAGAAGGCCTTGTTTGGGGGCCTCATGGCCACATACAAGTCCAAGCCTCAGCAGCAGGCTATTTCTTGGAAGACGCTGCTTGGCACTTGGGGGCAGAGTGGGTGTTGCAGACCTGAGCGCGCATCTCCTGCAGCTCGGCACGCAGCTCCTCCAGGGCGCTCAAAGAGGGCGTAGCCTGTGCTTGAGCCTGTAGCGTCTCCAGGGCCAGCGCCAGGCGGCCCACCTCGTCCTGCAGCGCGTTCCAGGCCGCCCTCTGCTCCTCCTCCTTGTTACGCTGCTGAGTCTGGTGGCGCCAGTACTCCAGGACCAGGCAGCCTCCGCCCACAATGAAGATGGTGGCCTCGCCCAGCAGCTCGGCGCCCAGCTCTGCCGCTGCCTCCTCATTCAGCGGCTTGATGGCAGAGCCCCGGAAGCCCATGATGCGCATCTTGGTCCGCATCTCCACCCAGTGGTACACTGCAGGGGAGAGAGGGGTCAGGTGTGCTCCCAAGCCACCCCACCCCACACTTCCTTGTCCCAGCTGGAGTCAGAGACCAGGGTGGGAGCAGGAGCTTGCCTTAAGCAAGATCTGCCCTTTGCTTCTCCCAGGGAACACATGGTCTCCTCCTGGGGTGACCTGGGGGCTTTCTTCCCCCAGTATTAAGATCAGAACCCAGGGTCGCATGCATGCTAGACACACCCACTACCACTGAGCTACACTGTCTTCTTTCTGTCTATACATATTTGAGCAGGGTCTCATGTTGCTCACACTGGCTTTCAACTCCCCATGTAGCCAAGGATGACCTCCAACTTCTCATCTTTGTGCTTCCACTTCCCCAAGTGCTGGACGGCAGGCATGGACGTGGACATTATGTCCAGTCACTTTTTTCCCCAGTTGTAGCCCAGGCTGGCCTTGAATTCCTCATCCTCCTGCCTCTGCCTCCTGAGTAGCTGGGGGTATAGTCCTGTGACACTAGGACCGGGCCTAGCTCTGGGGCGTCTTTCAAAGACAGCAGACTCCAGAGAGAGCAGCAACGAGCAGAGATCCCAGGTGGGAGGCCATGTCCCCAGTGGGCACAAGCCGCTGCTCCCTTAGTGACAAGAACGCACAGGTGTAAAGGTCCAGTGGCCACACCCAGCTCCCTCTGCTGCTCTTCAGGTCACCACACAGAGGGGCTGTCTGTCTTCCTCCCTGGCACTGTGGCCCACTCCCCCTGTGAGGCGGAGGGTTGCAGTGGTGCTGGTGGGGACCCCACGGGAAGGCCAGCTGAGACACGAAGTACCTTTGGCGGGTCTGGAGGCTGCAATCCCGGTTCTCAGAGCACACTGGAAGGAGCTAAGCAGGGAGCAGAGCGGAGCTCCTGGGCGAGCTCTCTCCTTGATGGCCCTGTTTCTGAGCCCTAGAGAGAGCCTAGAGGAGCATGGGAGCCCATCAAGTAGGAGGAGGTGGAGGGGAGCCCAGGCTAGCTCCTTTCGGAATGCACTTCCAACAGAGCCTTTTCTTGTGGAGATGGTCTCACTATGCCTGGCTCACCTGGAATTCAGCAGACCTTGAACTTGTATCAATCCTCCTGCCTCAGTCTCTCAAGCTGTAGGGATCACAGGCATACATCACCATGCATGCCTTCGTTTTAGTTTTTATTATTGCTCATTAGATTGTTTCTTCTTTTTTGTTTTCTGAGACACGGTCTTACTGTGTAGCCCTGGCTGGCCTGGAACTCACTGTATAGACCAGGCTGCCCTTTTCTTTCTTACTTTCTTTTTTTCTGTTTTTTTTCTATGAATTTATTTATTTATCTTTATTTTATGTGCACTGGTATTTTGCCTGCATGTATATCTATGTGAGGGTGTCAGGTCTCCAGAACTGGAGTTACAGACAGCTGTGAGCTGCCATGTGGACGCTGGGAATTAAACCGAGGTCCTCTGAACGAGAAGCCGGTGCTCTTAACCATGGAGCCATCTCTCCAGCCCCTACTTACTATGTTTTGATACAGGGTCTCACTGTGTAATTCAGGCTGGGACTGACCCTGGGGCAGACAGTCCCCCGAGAGCAGCAATGGCAGGACTGTCCCCTGCACACTCTGGACCTGCCCTCCGTATTCCCTGCATGTCATATCTCAATCACAGTACACAGCCAGGTTGGCAGGATGGTGACTGCCAACCAGCCTAATGACCCAACTTCTACCCCGGAGACCCACATGGTAAGACCTCCATATGCACACCTGTGGCATGTGGACAGACACACACACACTATATGTGTGTGTGTTTTACATATAGAACATATATATAATATATATCAACTTTAAACAGGGCATAGTGACACATGCCTTTAATCACAGTATTTAGGAGGCAGAGGCAGGTGGATCTCTGTGAGTTCAAGGCCAGCCTGGTCTACAGAGTGAGTTCCAGGGCAGCCAGGGCTACACGGAGAAACACTTGAAAAACAAAAGCAAAAACACTTTAAAGAATATAAGTACAGGAGCTGGAGAGATGGCTCAGTGGCTAAAAGCACTGGCTGCTCTTCCAGAAAACCCAGGTTCTATTCCCAGCCCCCACAAGGCAGCACACAACTGTCTGAACTCCAGTCCCACAGGATCCACTACAAGCATGTACACAGGCATCCATTCAGGCAAAACATCATACACATAAAGTAATAAAAATAAATCTTTTTTTTTTCCAGGGGAGAGCTCGAATGCAGTCCACAAATCATGCAGCAGAGTTTTCCACATTTGGGGAAATGGCAGGGGTCAGCACATCAGGAATACTATGGATAAACCTTGCCCTGGAAAAACCACCTCTGTGATCATGGTATCTCCTCTGCCAGGTAAGCATATAAAAATAAATCTTTCCTTTTTATTCTTCTTTTAAAATTTAATTTATTTATGCATGTTTTTATGCATGAGTGCTTTGTCTACATGTCTGCCTGCAGGTCAGAAGAGGGCACCAGATCCCACTATAGATGGTTGTGAGTAACCATGTGGGTGCTGGGAATTGAATTCAGGACCTCTGGAAGAGCAGCCAGTGCTCTTAAGCCTGAGTCATCTCTCCAGCTCTGAGAATAAATTATATATAAAAAAAGAATATACATACAAAAAATCAAATATTACTAACTAAACCCCAGTGAAGCAGTTTGGGACCCAGCAGGACTTACTGTCCAGCCTATGCTGCCTGGGGACTCAATTCTCTATGGACTATCCTCACTCACAGAGCCAGGATCACCATAAAAGCCTGGTATCAACTGCCAGGATAACGGACAGCACAACTAAGCAGTCGCTGTTGTTGCTGGCTGGTATCACCACATGGCTCGGAGCAGTCGCTGGCTGTCCCTCTCTAGCTATGTCCCAGGTGGCTCAACATTCACTCTAAAGCCTGGTATAGTGGCACAGACCTTTCCTCCTAACACTTAGGAGGTTGAGGCAGGAGGATCACAAATATGAGAGTTCTCCTCAAGAAAACAAAAGATAGGCTGCAGAGACAGCTCAGCTGCTGCTCTTGTAGAGGACCTGGGTTCAGTCCCCAGCATCCACATCAGAACCACCTCTAACTCCAGTTACAGGGGATCCAACACCTGCTTCTGGCCTTGATGGGAATCAGGCAAACATGTGGTGCACATACAAATGCGTAGGCACGCATACATACACATAAAAACACAATTCAAACTTCAGGGGGCTGGGACAGATAGCTCAGTGGTTAAGAGCACTGGCTGCTTTTCCAGAGGACCCGGGTTTGATTCCCAATGCCCTGTTGTAGCTCCAGTCTCAGAGGTTCCCAAGCCTTCTTCTGGCCTCCACAGACATCAGGCACACAGGTACACAGACAGACATGTGGACAAACTCCCTGTGCAGCCAAGGCTGGCCCTGAAGTCACAGGCTTGCACACCACAGCGGTCCTTCCTCCTAGAACAGCCCCTGGCACAGAGCACTCAACACTGGACTGAGTGACTAATGTAGGCTCCTAACAACACAGCAGAATGACCTCCGCCTGTACTCCCCACCTAGACTGCTCAGGCCAGCTGGGCTTAACAGAGGGAATGCCTGGGAGTTCTGGAGGCTCGGGGAGGCTAAGGGCTCAGTGTGCTTGGAGCTGGGCGGTCCTGGGTTCAGGTGCTGCACCTGATGCTTACTTACTGGCTGTGTGACTGGTCAGGACTCCAACAGCACAGTATGCTTCCCACTTGGCAACAGGGAGCAGCAGGCCGGGGCAGGGTTGCTCCAGGCCTGGCTCACAGGGTGTTGGCTCATCCCAGGGGTGAGCAAGGACTGTAATAATCTGATTGGAGATAGCAGAGCTGCCTGCAGGAAGGAGCAGGAGCTGAGCCCTACAGCACTGTGGTTAGGCCACCAAGGAGTCACTGTCTGGTTTGGAGCCCCTGCTGAGCCACGCACTGCCTCTTGCCCCCGGGGCCCAGTTTCTTCATCTGTGGCCCTGAAAATGGCCACAGCAGAGGGCATGCTGGCTGAAGCCAGGCCTCCTTCCCACAGCAGGGCGGCACAGGATGAGACGGAGCAGTCTCTGAGGGGCTCAGAAAGAACACTCTCCACCTCAGAAGCGTCTCTTACCTCCCCCTCCCTTATAAGACAAGTTCTCACATAGCTTAGGCTGGCCTGGGACTTGCTGGTAGCTGAGGAGGACCTTCAACTCCTTGATCCTTCTGCCTCCACCTCCCACGTGCTGCATTTACAGACGTGTGCCTCCACACCTGGCCAACTGCTGTCACTCCCCCCGGTACTGGGGATTGAACCCAGGGCCTAACGCACTGCAACGCTAAACCGCATCATGGGTCTCTCCTGACACACACAAAGCCCGGTGTGGGGCTTCAGCGACGGCTCTGTGGTTAAGAGCACTGGCTGCTCTTCTAGACCTGGGCTCCGTTCCCAGCACCCACACAGTAGCTGACAGCTGTCTGTATCTGCAGTTCCAGGGCATCCGACACCCTCTTCTGAACTGTCAGGCACCAGGCACGCACGTGGGGCACAAACATACATGTAGCAAAAACACTCATATGCATAGACTAAAATAAATCTAAAAGAATTTTCAATTAAAAGAAAAGAAATAAGAAGCATGGTTCTCAGAGCTCTAGCAGCCTTATTGTGGTCAGGAGAACTGTCTGAATTAAAAGAAAAATACTGTCAGAAAGAGGAAGACAGAGCCACAGATCCCAGGTGCTACCAGGCAGCCACCAAACCACCTAGGGGTGTTTTCCGAGGGCTTACTGTCTAGCCAGCAGGAGGTTAAGATGGACTTGGGAGGGGTGAAACACCTGTGAGTCAGCTGTACCCGCAGCTTCTGTGCCTGCTGCCACCCCGGCAGAGCAAGCCCAGCTGCTGACAGAGCTGAAGCGCTGACTCGGGCGCCCTCTCCTGTCCGTTCCCAGTACTGTCAGCAACCAGGGCAAGGAGATCTGAGCCCGGGCTGTAAATCAACCAGCCCTACAAACGCAGTGGGAGGGGGTTGCTTGTTTTTGTACAATAGAGGTG